CTACTACTACCACCACGACTGCGACTGCGTTTTACACTGCTACAGCTACTGCCTTGACGAGAACCACGATGACGACGGCGACGGCGGCGACTGCCACCACTGCTGCTGGTGGTGGTGCTGCTGCAACTGCTACAGATTGTCGACGCACACTGTCGGGTTGATGCCGTGTTGGTCCTGTTGGTTTGAACACTTCGAGGCAGCCCATCTATGCAACCACACCTGGCCACATGCAGACACGAAGCACAAAACACAGCGACGATGATGACCGCTGCAGGCTTGCCTGCGAGAGACACTCCAGGATCGCTGACCTCTTCATGGTGAGCTTAGCTGACAGGGACATCGCTGTCGGTGGGGGCAGGCACAATGCGGCCACAGGCCAAAGGAGAATCGACGACTGATTCTCCAAAACTTCGCGGCTTGCGGCTTCAGGTAGTCAAGGCCAGTGCCAAAATTCTTGCCAAACCTGGGGACCCTTTCTTAATCGTGCCTTGTAGGCGCCTGCCAGCATGGCAGGGTCCAGGTTCATGGTAGCTGCATGCGATCTGAAAACTAACTTCTGACTGTCTTATCGGCATCAAGTCCCACGGCTGATGGCTCAAATGGTTCATGGAGTTGCTGGGGCTTCCTGTGAGCCTGCGAGGAATGATGATGGAATTCAGGCAACGCAACACAACTCAAACAGCTCAGCTCAACCAGACGCTGAACAGACCATCAGGAATTGCTTTTATGCACAGAGAAAGGCAGAGAGCATGCGAATCTTGAGACTTCGTGCGATCAGAGACAATGCTGGCCGTTCAGATGCTTGGCAGTTGAGTGCCACTGCAGTCTACCCGAGAAAGACTTGCTGGTGGCACACCTGCGGCAACATCCGGTCGGGGGGCCCTGCACGGTCACCGGACATGGATCGCAAACTGTACATCCTCAAGGTGTGGGCGATGCGGAAATTCGGGAATTAACTTTTGAAGCCTCAGTGCAGCCTCAGGCTGCGAGAGCTCCCTGAGCCTCGCCGGCTTCGGCTTGAGTCAAGTGGGCCAAGCGGTCCTGCTCACGAAGCAGGTCGGCGGCCACTTCGCGGCTCACTGCGTCAATTCGGCTCGCTCGGTTCCGCTGGTAAACACGGTAGCATCTGTCGGCCTTCTCCAGTGACTCCGGCCGGAAGGTGGTCATGATCACTTGAGATTTCTTGGCCGTGCGCGCGATGAGGTTCGAGAGCGCCGTGCGGTAGGAGGCATCTAGAGCTGCATCGACCTCATCCAACAAATAGAAGGGAGCTGGCTCCAGCCTTTGGATCGCGAACACCAAGCTCAAGGCGACCACGGTCTTCTGGCCCCCGGACAGCTGGTTCATGGACAGGAAGGATTGTGCTTGGCCAGTGAATGACACCTCGATGCGAACGCCGGAAATGTCTCCCAAACCTTCCTGACTCTCCTGAGTCTCGCCCTGAGCCTGTCGCGTTACATGCAGCTGGCCGACACCTCCCGGAACCATCTCACTGAAGACTTGCTGAAAGTTTTGGTTCACCTTGCGCAAAGCCTGGTGCACTGACTCCTCCTTCTGTGCATCGATCTGCTGGATCGCTTCCGCAATCGCGGCCTCCCCGGCTTCGATCTGCTCCTTACGACCCTGCAGATCCAGGAGCTGCTCCGAGAAGTTCTCGTACTGCTCCACGGCCTTGCGGTTCACGTGCTGGATCTGTTGCAACATGCGGGTGGCCTCCGAGAGCTCCTGGAGAAGCTGGGCCTTGGGAAGCTGCCGGCACTGCTCGACCTCGATGGGTGCGGCCGCCAAGCCCTGGAGCTTTCCATCGACTTCCGCCTTCTTGCTGCTCATGGCGCTCTGCTCCGCCGTGATCTGGTCCAGGCGCACCGAGGCCTGGGCAGCCTGGTCCGTGGCCCGCTGCTCTTCGGTCACCAGCTGCTCCAAAAGCTTTCGGCTCTCCAAAAGCCGCTCCTGCAAGCGCTGCATCTCCTCGGCCTCCTTCTGCAAACGGCTCAAAGCCTCTCCGTGCTCTTTCTGAATGCGCCCTTGGAACTTCACCGCCTCCTCTGCTCGCTCGGCCGTCTCCTCCGGGGCCGTGCTGGCCACCTCCAGTTCCAACAAATGCAGCCGGGGCCTCAAAGAACCTTCCAGCTGCGCCTGCTTCTCTTCAAGGCTTGTCTGCAGCACCTTCAGCGCCTCCTGTGCCTGCACACAGCTTCTGTAACACATGCCCCAGGCAGCCAGAAACATCTCAGATGCTAATGATAGTATCTACAATGGTACCCTAGCATGATGAAAAGAGTCTCTGGGCCTGCGCTTCCTGGCCCTGCAGCTCCTGGAGTTGCTCCGTCAGAGCCTGCAGGCGCCGCTCTTCCGCGGCGGTGAGGCCGTTCAAGGACCTCGAGGCGCGCTCCGCGCGCTTGCCGGCGATGGAGGCCTCGCACTCGCGGATCAAGACCTCCATGCGGTGGCGCCACTCCCGGAGCTCCGTCAACTCTCGGTTGGAGCGGGAGAGCGCCTCCTCGGAGCCCTTCACCTCCTCGGCCAAGCGCTGCAGCTCCGCCCGCAGCCTGTCGCGCTGCTCCTGTTTGCTCTGTCGCTCCACATGCAGGGCGTTGACCCCGTCGCTCACGGTCTCAATCTGGGCATCGAAGTCCGGAAGCTTCTGCTCTGCTTTTTCGAGCTTCTGCTCCGCCACCCGGATGGCTTCAGCAAGGGACAAGCGGACGAAGCGCTGAGGATCCTGGAAGCCACCAGTGATGACGCCTTTGCGACTCACCCGGTCCCCATCCAGCGAGATCGCATCGATGCCGTGGTGCCGGGCGACTTCCTCACACAGCTCCATGCTGGAGCAAACGACCGCCTTGCCAAAGATCTGCTGCACAGCAGGCCGGACCCAGTCTGGACATCTCACAACATCCACCAGAGGCTTCACGCCTTCTAAGGTCGGGAAAGTGTGGGCCCGTAGAGGCAGCTGGCTCAGCGGTGTCACTACGACGGCGCCCAAGCGCCGTACCCGGACGTGCTTCACGGCCTGAGCTGCCGCGTCGTCATCCATGGCAAGAACCTGAGGCTGTTCTAAAAAAGGTGCAGATCTGCACACTTCGATGTTACTAAAAAATACTGAAAATAGGTTGTTTCAGGGCAAGGTGCATTGAACAAGGCTGTGCCGGCAAAGTTCTCCACTGCTGCGCGGAAGGTCGGGGCCACCTCGATGTGGGAGAGGAGTGTGCCCCGAATGCGGTCCTCACGGATTTATAGTGATCTTTAGTATAGTGATCTGATTTGCATGTCTCTCACCCCCCACCCCCACTCGTACGGGCACACATTTCTCTCCACAGAGCGGCAGATTCGGATTGCATGACTACAGACAAATAACAAAGGGCCAGCTGAAGTGGATGGGTGCAGGGTCCCTATTTCCAATGTGCTCTCGCATCAGATTGCGACAGTCCAACTCATTAGTATTCGAATTGATTGCGGCATCGGCTTCAGGAAGTGCCATGAACCCTCGCGGACACATCTAAGGCTGTTGTACTCGAAACACACGAATCGGAAGCTTCGCTTGGCTCTATCACGCGATGTACATCGGCTGTGCCATAGCCTAAGCCAGTACGGATCTGCAGGCTTCTATACATTGGAACGTGGCATGGTTCTGGTCTTTACAACACATGCTCAAGGCCTCATTCGTAGCCAAGCCTTCATGGCGGCCCACAGATCAAGTTCAAGTTCTCAAACACACACCACACGCAGCTGCATGTAGTTTCTGCAAGACTCTAAACTAAACGAAGAGCTACGCTGACTCAGTGTCCTGCAAGCCCTGCTCCGCGGCCCAGCTCAGCACGGCTGAGACAGCATGACGGTTTGCCCTGGGCATGGTGCCGTCGAGCCTCAGGGGTGATGCAGTGATAGGATGCTGCAGCAATCTCACACATGGCAGGCCGCCCGGCAAGTTCTGTCGATGTTCAGCCCTGGGGTGCGGGACCCCCAAACAGAATCGAATCGAAGCATACTTAAATAAAGAACTTCCGGTGACGCCCAGCCGCCGATTCTGGCAGGAGGTGACCTCGCTGCGAAGCCTCTCCAAGTCTCGCAGGGCCTTGTTGCGATCCTGACCAAACGGTCACAAAGATACACAATCATCATTGAAGCAAAACCAAGGAGCATCAAAACCAAGGGAGGGCTCTTACAGCCCCCTTCGCGTGATACCAGGCCCAAGATAGCCGGCATCATAAGCCCCAAAGGCCCTCGGGTTCTTCAAAGTTCCCGGATCCCAACCAGCAAAGCATGGGGGATTGCTCGGAGAACCGGTGATTTGGGACATTTTGGTGTTCCCCCCCCCCTCCCCCCGGAAAACTCCATGCATCGAAGGGCTCCGTTTGAGGGGAGAGCTTTCGTGATGTTGGGGTTCCTGGTCTCCGGTGACATACTACGGCGCTTCAGCTTGAACACTGGCATGCAGTCCTGGTGGAGCAAGCGCAGGTCCTCGGCGTGCTTGTCCAATCTGCTCCCGAGGTTCCGGGCCTGCCGGGCTCTGTTGGCGAGGCTCCCGCCTGTCCTATGAAGCCTCTCAAGACTTACAGAGTCTAATTGCAGGGATCGCAAGTCAAGGAAGGCCTTTCGGGTCTACTGGGTTGTCGACCTCGGGGTTTCACTCTCTGTTTTGGGCAGGTCGATCCAGCGCGGCTTCAAAAAGCCACTTCTGCTCCCTCCCGGGCCTCCTTCCCCAACTCCCCGAGCTGCTTCTCCTTGATGGCCAGGTCGGCTCGACCTCCCCCGTGCTTTAATTAAGCGCTTCCAAGCAGCGAAGACCCCCTCGAGAGGAAAGGGCGGATGTGTATAGAAAACAAGCTCAAACAAAGCCCGGGGATGTCCTGTCGCCGCCATTTCTGCGGATGTCTTCTGCGCTTCTTCCCTTCTGCGCTCGCGCTCGTTGCAAACATCCTGGGCCAGTGGGGCACAAGATCAACCAGATCAAAGCTACAGGCTCCTTTGATCCAGGTCTTCTCCAGATCTACCTGACCTCCTCGGTCACTGCAAGAAGGAAGCTCCAAACTCGCCCCTGCTAGACTCCTAGACATTTTCAGACCTATGGTGACCATATAGGGTCCAACTTAAGGTATCTCCTACAAGGGACCCTCCATGCAGCAGAGCTTCGATCTTCCGACGGGCCTCCTCCAGCTTTTGCCCCCGGGCCTCTGATGGAGAAATCCGGCTCGTCGAACCCTTTGAGGCTAGTGTAATGTATAGCCCGCACAGCAGGCTTGGCATGTGACCTGTCTTTGATAAGCATCACTGCATTACGTACCAGTGGCAAAGTTGAAAGCAGGCTTCGGGGACGGAGTTATTCTATTGCAAAGCTTGCTGCACGCAGGGGTTGTCTGGAGCATGCTGCATGCTGTTGAAGGCCTCGGCCCCAAGATCTGGTACAGCATATTGGCATATTGGAACATTCTGGGCTCCCTTAAACCTGACAGCTCTCTGAAGTTCCATGAGGCTGAAGGGCGCTGAGCTCTTGATCCAGCGCCCGATTCCTTTCTTCCACACTGCTGAACTGCTGCCGGCGGCCTGGCGCGCAAATGTTCAGGGGCTCGGGATGGCTCGGGCGGCTCAGGCAAATTCCTGACTGCGCTGAGGGCTTCTGTGAGGACTCGGAGCGGTGTCCTTGCTTTGCCAGCAGCTGCTCGCGCTCAGCTGCTGCCACCTGGCACATCGAGCGATCGTTCAGAAGAATGAACAAGTGAATAATTCTTGGGCTTCGGCCTGAGCCTCTCCGTTTGGTTTAGTTTGCCTGAAGTCGGCCTTCAAACTACGGGGCAACCTCCGGACAACCCAAGCTTGCATGTCTCGTCGCAGCACTCTGAAACAGCATGACGCAGGCTGCCTGGCGCTGTTGCTCAAGCGCCCTGAAGGCAGCCTCGGCCGCTTGGACCTCCGGCTGCTCCTTCCTGAGCGTAAGCGGGCTAAGCTCCCGGCTCCTGGAGAAAACCCCAACTAATTATATCATCTAGTGTAGTATTGTAGTATAATATGATATGATATAATAAAACACACGAAGGAACGCGATTTTTCATGGCTGGGTTTCTGAATGACCTCGGCGGCCTCCGCGACCTCCCGGCGCGCGGCGGCCAAGTCCGCCAGCTTCCTCAGCTGGCTCCGAGGTCTTCCTTTACTTCAGCCATTTTAAGAGGTATGAGGGTTTGACAATCTCAATGCAACCGTCCGGCCACTGAATCTGCAGCACTTTTGAGCTAGACCTCCACCTTGAATGCAACCTTGAACAACTCAAGCGGCAGGCTGGCGTCTGATCGTTTCGTGCCTCGCCCTCCTTGCGCTGTCGGCTCTCCTCGGGGGTGTGACTCACAACAAGTTGACTTGGTTGCAGCGTCCACCCACCACAAGTCTCTCCTCACCTGACTAAAGTGTCACTGGCGGTCTCCCCATGTAATTACTGACTTACTGATTCCAGTTCAACTGCTGTCACCATGATTGTCGGGGGGGGGGGGGGGCANNTCCTGCTCCTCCTCCTCCTGCTCCACTTCCTTCTCCTCCCCACCTATCCAGAGCCACTTTATCCTTGCCGGATATCATGGAAGCGCGGGCACAGCCAGTCCACATCCAATTCCAATCACGGCGATGACCATAACTATCTGACGACACATGACCAATGTCATGCCATCATTTGTGTAGAGTACCCGAACCAAGGTCACAGGCATCCAACACCTGCTTTAAAAGAGCTTCGCTCTGCCACCGGACTGGACATTAACATATGTTACAAGTAGCGTCGAAAACTGTCGCAACATGGCGTCAGAGTCAGAGCGACTGAATCCCCTTCCCGTTTCACTCCTCCTCCGCAGCCAAGCCGGCCTGGGCAATCAC